TTATCGCAGGTACATGAACGTGTTAGTGAGCGGACAGTCGACAAGCGACCGAGTGGGCGGGTGTGACGACATACAATGCATTTCTATGTGGTAGTATACGCGTCCTTGCCATAGTGTGCGATATTTCGAACGTCAGCGGGTGGGGCGGCAGGAACAGGGGCGTAGAGAGGCGGTCCTCGATTGGGTTCTCGAGGAATACTCTCTGGCCTTCTTTGTCTTTAAAGAGTGTTGTCTTCGCACGTGTCAATATCGTTTAAATCATTAATGTTTCTTATTTAGATGCTTCAGGACAGTTCATATATATTGTTTTCTGTCGATTTGTTAAATCGCAAATGAATTTTAAGTTGTGTATAGTTTGATAAAAATAAAGAGAAAGGAAAAACAAAGCCAAATGCAGTATTCGAGCAGGGTAGTTACCATTATAGCTAAATTTGATGAAAATTTATATTTTAAATTGTTTTATATATATAATAAAATTGAATGTAATTTATGAATGAATCTTTCAGATTAAACGCTCTTCAAGTGAGCGTTTCCATATATTGCAAAATAAATAGTCAACTTAGTTCAGTATAGCAAAGAATGGATTCCTAGCATAAAAATATTCAACATAAATCTAGCATTATTAGCATTAAGAATAAATTATAAATATATTCACCATGAAGCGAAGTTTGGATGGACGAAATATCTCTCAGGTGAATAATTTTATTTAATCATTTTTACAAAATTGTAATAAACAGAAATAAAAGAAGCATTGATATTATTTTACAGGAGGAGATTGATGACCATGATCCTTTACAAACACAACAACAACAGCAACAACAGCAACAACAAGATGAAACTGAACAGCAACAACAATTAGAACAGCAAACTGGACAACCTCAAATTCGTTTTTTAAGTGCAAATGTTTTACAGCATTTACAGCAACAGCAAGATGTTCAGCAACAAACACAACAACAACAACAACCACAAGTTATTACTTTGCAGCAATTGCAAAATTTTGTGCCTTTACAGACTCAGCAATCACAGCATGATCAACAAAGGGCACAAACTATTTCTGTGCAGTCTTTACCTCAACAATTTTTACAGGTGAGAGATGCAATTTTTTAATAATAAATAATTCAAATGTTTTTTTTTAAGATATAATAATTACTTTAGGGTGCTCAATTGATTAGTACTCAAACTCAAGCTGCGCTTCAGCAACAACAACAACAAACACAGCAACAGCAAACACAGCAGCAACCACAACAGCAGCAACCACAACAACAACTCAGTTATAGTGTTATACCACAGATGCAAACTGTTAACATTGATGGTCAAGAGGCACTTTTCATTCCATCTTCTGCCATGTCTGCTGCAGGAGGACATCATCAAAGTCAACCTACAATGCAATTTGCCACTGCTAATGGACAACAAGTCCAACTTGCTAGCCAGCAAGTACAGTTGGCTAATGGTCAAACTATTATTACACCACAACCAGTTAGTTTAATAAGAGCACCAAATGTCTTTCCCACTTCTATTATACAGAATATCACTGGACAGACTGTACAACTACCAACAGGTATGTATATTGTTTTTATAAAATTATTTTTATGATTATTAAGATAGTGCATTTAATTCAATGTTTTTTATTGTAAGGACAAAGTGTACAAGTTAGACCACTTCAATTTCCTATGCAACATGTTCAACAAACTGTACCTGTGCAAGTACCAGTTACAGCTAGTAATGGACAGACAGTTTATCAAACTGTACATTTTCCTGTTCAAGCATTATCCAGTGTTTTTAATGTGCCTACTACACAAATGATACCACAAATCACACAAGTATATTGATTACATAAATAAAAATTTATAAATAACAATAAATATATATTATTTAAAATAAAATTTGTTTGTAGCAAATTCCACAAGTGGCTCAAATAATTACACCAAATGGACAAATTCAGCAAGTTCAAATTGCTAATTTACCACAACTTCAAAGTTTACAGGTAATTATAAAAAAAATAATGAAAATTATAAAAAGAATTATTATATCATTGTGCGTAATTTTATTAAAACAATTTTGATGTAAGAGTCAGCAAGTAACGCAAGTAGCACAACAACAAGCACAACAACAAGTAGTGCAACAACAAACTCAACCACAAGTAGTACAGTCTGTACAGCAACAGCAACAACAACAACAAGCAGCGCAAGCTCAAGTACAACAACAACAACAGCAACAAGTACAACAAGTTGTACAACAAGTAATACAGCAACAGCAACAACAACAAGTTCAACAAGCACAACAATCATCTGCCACACCGTCATCAACTGTAGCGACTTGGAGCACAACAGTAACAACTCCAAGTAATGTCCAGGTAAAAGATACATATTAACATAAATATTATTTATTTTAAATTAAACTTTTTAATAAATATTATATTATATTTTTTATAGGTACTTGGAATTGGTGCACTTGGAAGACCAATGCAAGGAAACAGTAACGTAATTACTACGAAAGATGGACAGAAAATTGATGTGCAAACACTGTCGGCTTTAACAAGGCCACCGGATTCTGTCGAAGGTGATATAAAAGTAACCAGTATTGATGCCAGACAATTAGCTAGTGGTCAAGTTATACATATTCCTGCTCAATCAACACAACCTGCTGTCCAACCTATAACAATTGCAGGTATGTATATTACATTATATTACATTACATTACATGATTACATTATTACATTATTTTTTTTATTTATATTTATTTATATTTATAAAAAAATTATTAACATTTTAATATATTTTATAGGTACACAAGCGCAACAGCTAACTTTAATTCCTGCATCTGCGTTAGCAAATTTAACTGCCCAGCAAGGTAACATGATAAGGGGCGTTGGTAGTGGAAGTATAATGCAACTTCAACCTGCCGGCGGAATGAATGCGACAAATGGTTTTCTTCAGTCGATACCTGTGCAAAATATTCCAGGTTTGGGTAATGTACAAGTTATACCTGCAAGTGCTCTTCAGCCTGCTACTGTTCAAACGCTACCTGCAACAGCAGCTACACCTATTGTCGCTGCTCCAACCGTGCAATTAGATTCAAATGATCCAACAAAATGGCAAATTTTGCAAACTCTTCAGTCAAACAACACATTGGCAACACCTACTCCTACATCACATCAGCATCAAGTAACAACTGCAACGTCTGCGAATATTGAAACGGATTCTAATAAGCAACATCGTAGGAGAGTTGCTTGTACATGTCCTAATTGTGGTGATGGTGATAGGTAGAATTTAAAAAAAAATTATTATTTATTCAAATTTATAATATAATTTTATAAATTTAAATTATTTGATTAGGAATAGAGATATGACTAGAAAAAGACAACATGTTTGCCACATAGCAGGCTGTAATAAAGTATATGGAAAAACAAGTCATCTTCGGGCTCATTTAAGGTGGCATACCGGAGAACGACCATTTGTTTGTAGTTGGATATTTTGTGGTAAGAAATTTACTAGATCAGATGAGCTTCAGAGGCATCGTAGAACTCATACTGGCGAAAAAAGATTCCAATGCCCGGAGTGTACTAAAAAATTTATGCGATCAGATCATTTGACGAAACATATAAAAACACATACGAAGATTCGAAGTACGGTAAGAAAAGTTATGGTTTTATTGAAATTAATTTGATTTCTAGATGAACAAAAAAATGGATTATATTGGATATACTAAAAATTTATAGTTTTGAGATTATTTTTATATTTTTTTTTTTTTTTTCTCTTAATTTAGGAAGCCGCTACTTCGACGCAGGAAGGTTCTTCCGACAGTCAATCTTCCACGGAAGAAAAAATTATTATTGCTCTCAAAGAGACGGAACAATCTGATATCGTTATTTCCGAGCAAATAGATGAAATAAAACCTCAACTGGCGAATCATGTAACAAATGAATAAAAAAAAAAGAATCATGTTTTTCTCCGCCTTTAAAAGGTTTAGGAATAAAAGAACTTGTTAAAACATTGATTGTTATGTTAACAACGTCGAAGAAAAATTAAAAAATCTAAATATGTTACGTTGATTATGGCGGTTTGCACAGATCTTGCAATTATTTTTTGCAATGAAAAAAAAAAAATGAAACTTTTTACAGGGATTATCATAATTCTCGATATAGTAAATGATCTATTTTTGTATTAAATGAATTTTGTAAATATGTATAATAATTGTATATTAATTGTAAAAAGGAAAATTTTTTGCACAAAATGAATTTTACACTTATAAACGGTTTTTGATTTTATGTGACTCATAGAAATTTTCAATCTTTCTCCTTAATATAGTGAAATTTTTATAATATATAGGGACAATAACATTATATTTAATTAATCTTTTCAGGTATATTATTTGAATAAAATAATACATAGAAAAAAAAATAAAAGGTAAGATGTTTAATTGCTTTTATTTATTTATATAAAAGCAGACTTTTTTTAAAAAAGAATTTTATTTCATTATTTTTATTTGTGTGTTAATATATGATTATATTTTTTATGAATAATAATTTCTAGATATTTTTATATATATATTTTAAAATAGATATTTTTATATATATATTCATATCATTTTTTTTTTCTTATATTTTTAATGTATTATATAAAACATTATTATTTTACAATGAAAAACAAAAATGTGTATTTTATTTTTAATTTTTTGAAATCTCAAAATTATTTATTACTTTTTCAACTTTTTAATATATTAAAAGAAAAATAAAAATTATTTTTATTATTGCAACTATTATTTAATTCCCGAATTACATAATATAAATAAATAATAGAATTAGAATGAATAAATAAATGATTAGAAATGGAATGTTTAAAAATGGATATATATATCTGAAAAACAAGGATGCGGATCTTATTTCAATAACCAATGGTGTTATAGTTACAAAGGAAAGAAGATATGTTCTCATTTTGATGGTATGACTTTAAGAGCTTTCAGGTGTGGTACATTCAAGTGTATTCGTATGTACTGTTCGATCGAATATGACTCGTCAATGGTATAAACAAACGCTTGAATTTTATCGAGATGTGCATTAATTTAATCATCTGTACGTGTGACAAGTTTATTTCAATTTATATTCATCATAAAAAATAACAGTGTATCTGAATCTTTCGAGTCTGGAAAATTTTAGAATATTATAGATTCAATTCGTTCATAATGATTCAGAAATTGATATAAAGTGCGGTAGTTTCAAAGACCGTTTTCTTCTGGATATAAAATCATTTTGTTAATTTTAGGTAAATAGTTTATAATTTATCATATCATATATAAACATTCAACATATGTTCTTAAATAATCATAAAACTTACAATACGAATGTAAAATATTGAAAAAAATATTGAAATTATTTTTGTGCTAACCTAATTGTAGTGTTTTCTATATAGGAAGTCTAATCTTATCTTATAAATATGCTTCAGCCTTTGTATATTATACTATTAATAATTTAATTATTTATAAAAATGAATTGAAATTTATTTAAATTAATTATGTTGTTTTTATAATATTTTTATCAGGAATAGTAAATATTTCTGTAAAAATTAAATATAAGGATGCCTGCACCACCTCCACCTCCACCTCCTATTTTCAATACATCTGGATCTAATGTAGGAAGTCAAGATAGAAATTTACTTCTTCAATCAATTAGAGCTGGAAAAACCTTAAAAAAAACTATAACAATAGATAAAAGTGCACCTATAGTTAGTGGTATGTTATAAAATATATTTATTTTTTTATAAATTATGTTTATCATATAATAATTATTAATATTTTAGGTAGAGTAAAAACTGAATTAGGAAACTCTTCTTCCTTGAATATCAAGGAAAATAATTCTAATGTTAACAATAGCAATGCAAATAATGGAGGACCTATAGGATTGGGTGGATTATTTTCTAGTGGCATGCCTAAATTGAAACCTATAGGATCTAGAATGACTTCAAGTGAAAAGAATACTAACAATATAAATAATATAAACTTGAGTCAATCAACTGTCCCTAGTATAAAAAGAGGTCCACCTCCAATTCCACCACCAGCTACTCAAAAGCCACAAATATTTGCTCAGGTAAAAATATTAAAAAAATTATGTCTAAATAAATTTTAAGATTTTGTTTAATGTTTTAGAAAACAAATTCAATACCAGGACAAAATACTACAGATTATACTAGTTCAAATACTGAAGCATCTAAAGGATTTGGAAAACCTACTCTTGCACCAAAACCACCTTCCACATCCTCATCTGCATTGCACAAACCATCACCACCTCCTAAAAAATTAAATTTAACTACTGGAGGAAGTGTGTCAAGAGCACAAAGTATGCGATTACCTAGATCACCTCCTGTGCTTGCTCCAACTCCATCTTCTCTTCATCAGTCTCAAGATTGCCTAAATGAAACCCAACCAAGACCTACAAATCGAATACTTAGACCTCCAATCGTGAAACCTCCATCTCCTCCAACTTCTAGAACAAATAATAATACAATTAGCACTGCAACTAGAGTAGCACCACCACCACCTTCTAGAATAACTGTTAGTGCTCCATGTATACCACCTCCACCTCCTCCTCTTCCTCATCGTCCAACTCCTACTCATCAAAGATTGGCTCCACCACCACCACCACCACCGACACCACCTACAAGAAGTTCTTCTATGCGCAATGGACAGACAATGAACATTTTAGATTTAGAGCTTCGATTTGCTGATATGTTTCATTCTGTTGCAAATTTTCCATCGCCAGAACCATTTAAAGGATTTACAAAAATCTACAGTAGCAGAAATGGTGAGAATGATACACTCCAATATCAATTGTACTCCTTCTTGAATCATAATATTAGACAATATACTGCAGAATTGTTTATGTAAATTTTATAATTTAAAATTAAAAACATTTGTACATCTAAGAATATTTATCATATTTTATATGATATTTTGCTATTAACAATTTATCATATTTATCATATTTGATTACACTTTTTATATTTATTTTTATAAATTAATTAATTTATTTTGTTTCATAAATGAAAAATTTATTTTTTTTTCTACAAAGTAAAATTATATTTGAAAAATAAATTGTATATTAACTTAATTAATTTTGATTGTTTATTATATATTAAAATATATTAAGAAATTATAAATATTTTATAAACTAATTAAATCATTAGTATTAATGTTAATTACTCATATTGATGCATATTATAATGCACATTTTCAAAATCCAATTGCATGTTAAACTATTGATAATTCTTAATAAACAAAATTAAGATTTATTAAGACAAAAATAATAACAATATTTAAAAATTCCAGCTGCAAAACAGCAAGCTCCTGCGCCACCAATGTCTTCTATATCCAATACAATGGTATCATTAAACACATCATCTGGGGGTTAATTGTGACAATATAGTACTTCTTTGACATATTAAAAGTTTACAAATAATTTGTTATATTTATTATGTCATATGATTAGTTAATAATTTTTAAAATATTACAACGAAAGAAAAATTTAGATGAATAGAAAAAAAACGGAATAAAAATATTAAAACCATTACATATTATAAAGTATTCAACATTTTAAGTTCATAAAGAATAACATATCGATTTCAATATTTTTCGTAGTTATATATTTTTCTTATAAATTTCAGTATATTATACTGTATTAAATTAAACAAAAAATTATTTTTAAAAAAATAATTAAGTTTATGCATAAGTAATTGATCATGTAAATCATGTATATCAATGTAATGTTTTAAACGGTTTTATAATAAGGATAAAATCTTATATATCTTTATTTATAACAACGATTTTTTATTAACTAATATACAATATTAAATATCAGAATTCTTTTAGATATAATTTATTTTAGCTGGCAGTTAAACGATGTGAAACTTTCCTAATTCTATTGTTAAATCGAAGACTCAGTCTATTTTGCAAATTTTATGTTAATAAACAATGATTTTTCATAGCTCTTTCATAGCTTTATTTAAAATAGACAATATAATCTCCGCGACAGCATCGATAAATAAATCAAAAATATTCATTATCCCAATATAAAAATAAATATTTTTATTTTCTTGCAAGCTTCGAATTAATTGAAACTTTCACATCGGTAATTTAACTCGGAAAAATGCAAAAATTCATAATACAATTAAAATAATTTTTACATTTCGAGTTCCTTTTCAATAATCTTACGATATTCGTCAAAACCTCCTTCGATGCATCGAACAGAACCTTCAGCACATACCCAAAGTTCAGTGCATACCATGCGAATTAATCTTTCATCATGCGAAACTAATATAACACCTGCCTGAAAGATTTATTTAAAAAAATGATTGTAATATAATTTAAAATAGAAACAAATAAATTAAAAAGAAAAATTTTTACCTGACATGCATTTAGTGCTTTACCTAAAGCTTCAATAGATTCAATATCCAAATGATTTGTAGGTTCATCAAGTACTAAAAAGTTTGGCATAGCAGCACACATTAATGCAAATGCTACTCTAGATTTTTGTCCTCCAGATAAAGAATTGATAGATTGCAAAGCTAAGTTACCACTTATTCCAAAACTTCCAAGCATTCTTCTATATTCTTCAATTGGTTTTCCTAAAATAATCAAATAGTATAAAAGGATATAGAATTATAAATTTTCAATATTAATAATATATAAATTTCAAATAAATTCATACCTGGAAAATGATTTTGTAATAATTCAACTGGACATACGCGCATATCTAGTTGATCTACATGATGTTGACTAAAATATCCAAATTTCAAATTTCTATGAACATGTACTGTACCTCGTGTTGGACTTAATGCACCTGTTATGATCTTTAAAAGAGTAGTTTTACCAGCACCATTTTCTCCTACGATACAAATGCGAGATTGTAAACTAGCAGTCAAATTCACAGAACTGAATATATATGAATTATCATTTCCTCCAATATAACTAAAGGAGACTTCATTAAGTTGTAATATTGGAGGACTTAATGGTTCAACATCTGGAAAGCGAAGAGTTACTTCGCCTTCCTTTTCCATTGGTTTAAGTTCTGGTCTGTTGAAAATAATAAAATTTTAAATAATATTTAATATATAATATATAATATATAATATATAATATTTTATAATATTTTGTTTATTATTTAAATTATTTAAATTTATTAAACTTACAATTTTTCTAACATCTTGATTTTACTTTGTACACTAGAAGCACGATTGGCATTGTATCGGAATCGATCAATAAATTCCTGTACATGTGCTCTTTTAGCTTGTTGAGCTTCATATTCTCTCTGTTGATTTCTTTCACGTTCTCCTTTAGTTTTTGAAAATTGTTCATAATTACCTCGATATGCTTCAATTTTTTGTCCACGTAAATATAATATATCAGTGGGAACCTATCATTAAATATAATTTTCAAACATATAATTTTAGAATAATAATTTCAAAAAATATAGAAATTTATACCGTGTCCAAAAAATTTCTGTCATGAGAAACAACAAGTAAAGTAGTTGGCCATGATTGTAAATATTTCTCTAACCATAAAATAGCTTTAATATCAAGCATATTTGTAGGTTCATCAAGTAACAAAAGATCAGGTCTAGAAAATAGTGCTCTTGCAAGAGCTAATCTCATTCTCCATCCACCAGAGAAGGCTTTAGTTGGCCACGATTGTCTTTCAACAGAAAATCCGAGTCCTGATAAAATAGCACTAGCTCTAGCAGGTGCTTTGTCTACTTCTGCTAATTGCATTGCTTCATATATTTTAGCTAATTCTTCCCCTAATGTATCCCCAGTTTTACCACCATCTTTTTCTATCATTGCTTGTAATTCTGCTTCTTTACTAAGTAACATACTTCTTTCTTGATCACATTCTAATACAGATTCAAGTGCAGAAGTATTGTCTCCAGCAACTTCTTGTTCTACATGTAAAACTCTTATATGAGATGGTATTCTTAATTGTTTACTGAAATAATTAGAATGAAATGATACAAACAATTAAACAAAATATTTAATAATTAAAATGTTATTATGGAACAATTTTAGTACCTAGATATCATTCTTAATAAGGTTGTTTTACCCAATCCATTTCTACCAATAAGGCCATAACGTCTACCAAATGCAAGTGTTAAATCAGCTCCTTGCAATAATATTCTATCTCCATATGCTATATCAAAATTTTCTATCCTAATATCCTGAATCTTATTTACATTGCCTTTTGTTTCCATTCTACTATCCTTTTTACTTGTCATTTGACTCGCACTAGCAGATTCTATACCTTGAGTTGTAATATTAATTCGTCCACTTAATTCATTATTACTTCTTTTTTCTTGTTTTTGTTGTAATTTTGCTTCTGCCTTTTCTAATTTTTTAGCATCTACTTTCTGTTAAAGAATATTTTTTAATTAAAATATATATAGTTAATATATATTTATGAGAAATTCTATAAAGAGTTAATTTTAGATTAGAATTCTAGTTAAAACATTAAAAGATTCTAGTTAAAACAAATACAAAAGTATACAAAAAGATCAATTGAAGCTTATTTAATTAATTATAAATTATAAACAATTTATTAATTTTTTCAAGTTAAATTCGCATTAAATAAAAGAAAGAAATAGAATGCGACAACAATATAACAAAATAACCATTTTTTCTTCATGTCACATAACATAAATTCAATTACTTAATGAATTTAATAATTTAACTTAATAAACTTAATTAAAAATTTTTATATATCAAATTTTATGTTTTTATCTCTAAAATTGATTCTACAAATATATCCCATGAATATTAATATCCTACATGTATATATATATATTAATGTTATTAAAAATTAAAATTTTCAAGCATAAATTTTTACCATGCCATCATCTCTAGTAGTAACCCATATACTCTTTATTTGTTCTACTTGAGCTTCTAAAGTAGCAGCCATAGTCCCCAAGTGTACTGGAGCATTTAGTACTTTGTTCACTCCATTTTTTCTCCTTTCAACATTTTCATCATTTGAATTACCTTTTAACATTTCCAATAACTTTACACATATTTGTCTAAAAATAAAGAAATGTAAATTAAAATATATAAAACATATAAAAAATTATAATTAATATATTAATAATCACATTTAAAATTATTTAAAAAATGAATATATTATAAGAAATTATATTATTCCAAGTTAAAAAATTTATCAATAAATCAAAAATTTAATGTTATTATAAGAACATATGATAATGTTATATGATGATATAAAAAACAGAGAAATTTGAACACGTTTACAGACCTAACCTCATTTTCTGTTTTCTCTGCAACCTCGTGTAATACTTCTCCTATTGCTTCATAAACTTCATCTCCATCCTCGAAATCATCCTTAGAGCTATCTAAAATACCTTTATAAGTGCAAATATTATTTAAAAAAAAATATATCATTTATAAATTATTATTAAATAACAAATGTTTTCTAATGTTAGGTTATTTAAAATATACCTTCCACATATTGATACAAATCATCATCTATTGTGGGAAATTGACTACGAATATATTCTCCACAGATTGCCATGCCAATTAACGTGTTGTAACAAAAATGTTAAAAAGAATTTATTTTGAATGATTTATAAAACGATATTCTTGACAGAACCAGACGTCAAAATTCCTTTGAACACTGCAAACACATGTTTATGCCATTTTAGAATATAATACTGCAGTCAAAAGATCATCCAGATAGTTTAATTGACATTAAATAAATTTTCGATATGCTTAGTTCATATACGATTTTTTTAATAATATTTTGAAAAATCTCAGTTCTGTTTTAATAATGTATAAAAATTCTTCGAAATTCAATTTGATATATTATATAGAATTTAATGATAAAGTAGCCATTTTGAAGCTGTCAAAACGATTTTTGTCATTTGATTGTGTGTAATATTTGTTTCGTTGAATTCTGATATTTATTTATAATTATTATTCAATTTTTATGTTGCGGTCTATTTACATCATTAAAAGTATTCATAATCGAAATGATTTAAAATCAATAGAATGCAAGATAAAAATTTATCACTGTTTCGAAAGAAAGATGGCAAAGAAAGTTGATGGAAGTGATGTGAATTTTTGTAATGTAGACCAAGGTCTTTTCCTTAAAATTGTTTAATAATTATTATCAGATTTATTTAGCTTTATTTAAATTGTTTAAAAGAAGAGCAAAATACAGACCTGTATAAAATAGAGAAAATGGCGACCGACATCGAAGAATCAGATACTGATGATCATGAAAGACCAGCTCCACCAAAACGGCAATGTACACGACTCAAAGCTACCGAAACGATTTGGGATATGGTAATTACGAAATATAGTTATAAATTATTTAAATTCCAATTTTATATTTTATTCTTCTAAAAAAAAAATATTAAACAATAATAATATTTCAAAATATATATTCTATTTGAGCAATTACTTTATAGGAAAAAAGTTCAAATGGAAAAAAAGTGGAACAAATACAAGAAGCAGAAAATGTTGAATATGATGATGTAGAAAAACAAGCAAGGGAAAAATTAAAAAGATGGCAAGCTTGTCAGGTTGCCAAGGGATATGTAGATAATACCATTAACAAAGTATTAGAAAATTACATTATGGGAACATCATCTTATTCTCTAGAGGAATCCAGATTTCAATTATTCAGAGGAAATGATATGGAGGATACTGCAGTCATGATGGCAATTCGTAATCATGGTTTAGTTCAATCTGCAGAACTTGTTTCTCAATCCAATGCTTTTTACAGTGACAAAGCTCCAGGATATTGGACTAATAATGAATATACAGATCTGCATTGTTTTTATCCAGCTAATCATAAATCAGATGGTGGAAATTTTGAGAATTCAGTAGCTACTACATCTACAAATTCATTGAGATTAAATGATTCAAAAAATCCAGAAGAATATAATAAATTTGATTGGGATTTGGATAAAATAGATGAAAATGATCAACAGGAGAACTTTTTAGAAAGAGCTGTAGCAGAAGCTATAAAGAAAAAAGGGCTTAGTGCTCTAAGCGTTGATTATGGTTGAGCACTCTAAATATTTCATCTTAATATATGATTACACAATAGCATTGCATATAACTTTTTATCTTTGCAAATCCATTTCGATTTGTATAACAATTACATAGATGATATTCATCAACAATTTTGCGACTAATTGCATTCTATTAGATAAAAGATAAAAATTATTTCTTTATTCATCATGAGCAGATGTATGTCTAGTTATGCATAGAGATTTATCATATACATATATTCCAAATTAAAATATTTTTGACGAAAAATTAAATTTCATTAATATATAAAGATCAATGTAGTACAAAGTTTTGTTTACGATTAATTGAATTATATAAAATAAGTTCAATCATATTTGATTTATTTAAAGAAAGAATTTTAAAAATTTCAAATACTTAATTCTAAATATGTCAAATATGTATAATAGCTTTAAATCAGTTGGTAATTGTTAATTATTGTTAAAATTCATTCCATATAGTATTATATTGCTTCTATCCATTCCTGAAAACTATATTTTTTTGTAAATCATAATTTTTTACATGATATATATTTTTTAACATTAATATAATGGAGAATATATAATGAATTTTAGGAAGAAAAACGAATCTATTTTATGTAAGAGTATTAAAAGTACTTTCTTCTAACTTTTTCATTTATATACAAAGGCTGTATGTATTACATCTGTAAATAGATTGTTAAGTATGAAACATATAAATAAAATTTTCATTCACGTTATACGATGATACATATTTGTACAAAACATATAATATGTTCTCTGTGCACATGATTCATATTTCTGGCATTTATGAATAAAGAGGTGTAAACAAATATAGTGACATGTCATTCTATAAAGAATTCCTGCAATATGATCTAAAAACTGTAAGTTGTTATTTGAAAAATTGATTAATTTTAAAACTAAATTTTTTAATAATTTTTCAATTCAATAATTTTATTATGAAACAAAGTTTTATTTAAAACTAAAAATAATTTTTTTTATTAAAAAGAATTTAGAGATTTATAGTATTTTAATGATATTATTTAGAGGTACTATTTTTAATTCGTGTAATATAATATTCTTTCTCTATATAATTTTCTATGTTAATTTCCAGTTTCATTTATTATATTTTATTAAATAATATTATTAAAATATTTTAATTCTTATCAAAATATAAATATAAATCAAATTATATTTTTATTATGATGAAATTAGACTTATATTCATTTGATACATATGAAAACAAATAAAAAAAATTAATTAAATTATTTTTTCTATATCAAAAATAAAAGAATTGTTTATGAAAAATTATAGGTATATATGGATACAAACATATTTCCAAATCTATTAAGATGAAAAATAATAATCAATTTTTTAATTTAAATTTTAATTTATAATTAATTTATTATATAGTGCATTAATACTAAGGAGTAGTTTAATTGCATAAAATCAATAATATCTGAAAATTACGATATTTTTTAAATTAAAAATAAATATGCCGAAATAAAAAAATAATAATATGTAAATTGTGTTCAGTTATCTTATCTCCATCAAAAAGGTCGATATACGAGTGTATTATATATGTACATATATATATATGTATATTACTCGACCATTAATCATACCCGTAAATCCGTACATACATACTATTAAAACTTGCTATAATTTATATCGAACTGTATAACTAATATGGTGGAATTCTTATACAAAACTAATCATCAAAAATTGATAATATATTATTTAATAATAATTATTAATGTAATATACAGTTTTTGAAATATAATTTTTTTTATAATAGAAATCGATATATTTTGAATTCATCAAATTCAAAAGCATTAAATAAAGACATTTTAAAATAATGTATAAAAAAAAATAAAAAGGATAAAAAATAGGAAACAAAAGAGACCGATTATAATGATTATATATATGTACACGGAAATACATTATTATTGAAAAAAGGAATAATCTTTTCGAATTAAAAAATTTATTTTAAAAAATCATAAAAGGATAGAAACGAACGGTAAAAGATAAAAGAAAAGAAAGAAAGAATAGAATGAAAAAGAATATATAAAAAATAAATACAGATTCTGAAGATCATTCGTATATATTCGTATACAGCTACAGCACGCTGTAACGGGGCGAACGAGAAACGAGGAAAAAGAAAGAGGGGAAGAAACGAACTCTCACAACGAAGAGGGGAAAGCGAGGGGAGAGAAAATCAGTATGAGTGGGGAGGAATGAGGAGAACTGACGAATCGCGTGAAAGAAGAAGCATACAGCAGTAGGTGCACATCGGTGCACGTACAAGACGAAGTGACGGCACGCCGAAACTAAAACGCGGAGAGCGTTGAGGTACAAACATTTAATGTCGCATTTCCGTACTGTTTTTCTACAGTGAACATCTTGATTAGTGAGTGATTAAATTCAGCTCAGTGTTTTTCGAGTGTATAGTTTGTTGCGATACTAGAGAATGGCATCCGATGAAGAGGTAGATGAAAGCTACGCGGGTAAGTGCAAAAAGGGATACTCTCAATCACGAATGCTACCGGAAAGTTATATCCTCGAACACGCAGGACGCGCGCTTTTCGTACGATGGCTGCCATGTCAATTGATCCTTCTATGATTTTCCACACGCTATCTTATTATTCTGCATTTCATTATAATTTCTTGTATGTTTTTATTTGATTCAATGGCAGGTTAATCGTCACAGAAAAAAATTATCAAATTCTTATTTGCTAAAATTTGTTTATCTTTTCTCAAGAAAGAAAGAAGTAACCTTTGAATTGTCAAATAATTCTATGATCATTTAACGATACTTTATTTAGAAATTTAATGCTTTTTTTGCAATCGCAATACATTTAATCATCATGTAAATCCAAAACAAAATAATCAGGTATAGGTTATTGTTTACATTCAATAGTTATATAGAAATCACATGGCTTTTTGAATTTCTTTTATTTTTGTAGCTACAAAGTTTTCAATACAAAATTTCTAGTACAATTTTATTGAGATCTTTACAATAATTATATACATTCTAGATTATGATATTATGACTTAATATATTAATTTCAACAATTGAATTTTTATTTAATATCGGATATTTTCAATTATTTTCAATACACTCTTTATATAATTCATATTTAATAATCTCTCAGTAAATTTTACTTCATAAAATTTTATTTCATAAAACCCTATTTGATTTTCCTTATTTTCAATTCGAAACATTAAAAGGCTTGCGTTGTTTTATCGCATAAAGATGCACTATGATCTGCTTCAATCGCGAAAATAATAATAAAGTAACTTTATTTATTGTGTATATTTCGATTTTGATAATTTTTGTTTAAAATTTTATTTCTTTGTAAAGAAATTTTTTTTTAAAAAAAGATAGAAAATACCGATTATAATTTCTAGTAGAATTTTTAAATAATTTTGTAATATGTATTAGTTTTCTAACCATCTGGTATGTCTGTATATGTATCTATTATATACACATTATTAATCGCAATATATAAGCAACCGGTGCGAGTTTTTTGAAAACTTGTTTCATTGGATTTATTAAAAATTTAAGACATAAATCATGACTATAGCTTCATTTTCAATTTTTTCTATATGATTAAAAATAAATTTAGAATTAAAAATATTATGAATGTAAAATATAGACACATACATTTAATGTGGTGAGCCCTTTCAAAGAAAATGGCGGACGCACGACAAAGCATTCATCGAATGTGGATTAATCTAAAATAATTTATGAATTTTAATTATTAACTTAAGCTTCATGTTCATTTTCAAATAATACTTATATTTGTGCGCATATTTATTTTTTTATAGAAATATTATATTTGTATTGATTTTTGATCATTTTGATTGCATTAAAAAAATAAAAAAATCAGTTTATTATAAAACATTACTATCGATTTGGCAATTATCAGTCCGTCATCATTTCACAAGTCGGAACATTTCGTCCAATAACATTTGTTTGAATTGTTGCCCTCTCTTATATTTTCTTAAGCATTTTATGTTAAAACTTTAGCAATTAATAAATTTTCTTTCGAAATTTTTTTATTAACTAAAAATTTAAATTTATAATATATATATATTAAATTTATAGAATTTTAAAAAAAAACGAATAACAAAATATTTATCTTTTTCATATTATCGTAATACTATGATAGAAAATTTTTCCAACAGTTTGACGTGAAATATTTATATACATATAATTATAAATTATATAAGATGCTATTGAATTTTTTTTTTAGAAAATAATATATTATTAATATATAATAAATAATAATATTATTGGCAAACCATAAAATTTTTAAAAATTATTGATTCATATAATTAATTTTATTGAAAAAATATATATATATATACATATATACATTGACTATTCTTAAGCCTATATTATAATGAAACAGATATTGATTTTATGTAAGTCAGAGATAGCCAATGAAAATTTAGCTTATTATCAATTATACATTAAATTACATTAAAAATTACATTAAAAAAATAAAAGTATCATAAAATATTATAAATAATGTACTTGCATGAAATATCCTTTTTTATAATTATTGATAATTATATTTTATTTTTTATAAAAATATCTTTTTAATATATTGAACTTTTAGGAGAAGATGATTTAGATGAAACTGGAGGTCAAGTTTCAAATGTTAATCAACAAGTGGATGGTTCATCTGATGCAGAGGAATCTCAAAGACTAGTTAGTATCTGATATATAGATATATATTTTTATTATATCTGATATATATTTTTTAAAAATGTTGTATTATTTAAAAAATATTTCTTTTTTATATAGGAAGAAGATGATGATTATGAACCAGAGGAAAGAAAAAAAAAGAAAGGGAAAAAACGAAAAGCACGTAGTGAAGATAAGAAGGGCAAGAAAAAAAAGAAAAAGAAAAAATCTGATTCTGGAGATGTAATTATTTTATCTTATCTTCATAAATATGATTACTTTATTTATATAAATGTTTACATCATATTTAGGAAAGTGATTTTGGAGGTGGTGAAACTGGTGATATAGCTGGAGATGATAGTGACTATGCAGGAAATAGAAAAAGTAGAAAGTCTTCTTCCAGGAAATCATCTAGTCATAATGCATCAGCTCCACCTAGCCAAGAACCTACAACTGGAATGCCTACAATTGAAGAAGTCTGTAACACATTTGGATTGACAGATGTACAAATTGAATATACTGATGCAGACTTCCAGAATTTAACTACCTATAAATTATTTCAACAACATGTTAGACCACTTCTAGCAAAGGAGAATCCAAAAGTAAATCCATTTCTAACAAATCCAAATTATTATATTTTTTCCAACAATTTATTTGTCTTTAATAAGTTATTTATTTATTTATAATAAGTTATTTTATATAATAAGTTTATTATTTATTTTTAGGTTCCAATGTCAAAGCTTATGATGTTAGTAGCTGCTAAATGGCGTGATTTTTCTGAATTAAATCCTCATACGCAACCAGATACAGATGTGTCATCAGCAAATGTGGATGAAGATAGTAGAAATGCAAGAGCAAATCGTAGTGGTACAGTCCAGGAAGGTGAAGATGAAGAAGAAGATGATGAAGATAGCGATAGAAAACGAAAATCACGAGGATCTAGAGCAAAAAAAGGAAAAAAAGCTTCTAAAGTACCAACACTTAAAATCAAACTTGGAAAACGTAAACGGGGAAGTTCGGATGAAGAAGCAGAAGGTAGTGGTGTTGGTACTGACAGAGATTCAGACATGGAATTTGAGCAGATGTTAGCAGATGCAGAGGAACCTGTTGGTGCAGATGGGACAAATAAAGGAAATACAGAAGAAAGCGGAATTGAACCACCGGCAGAACCACCTGTTCGCAGGAAGGCAAAAACCAAAATCGGAAATAAAACTAAAAAGAAGAAGAAAACAAAAACTACATCAAAGTTTCCAGATGGAGAAGAAGGTCTTCAGGTATAATTAGACTCTCTTTGATTAATAATCATGTTTTTTGTGTTGAAATATATAAAATATTTTTTATATTTACATTTCTTTTATATAGACTGATCATCAAGATTATTGCGAAGTATGTCAACAAGGTGGAGAAATTATTCTTTGTGACACATGTCCTAGAGCTTATCACTTGGTATGTTTAGAACCTGAATTAGAAGAAACCCCTGAAGGAAAATGGAGTTGTCCTCACTGTGAAGGAGAAGGTATTGCAGGTAGCTTCCCGTAACCCTAAACCTTCTATCCTTTCCCAACATGCTTATGTATATTTGATTAATAAAACAAATTGTAATTTATATTATTAATTTTTTTTCAGGTGCAGCAGAAGATGATGATGAGCATATGGAATTTTGTAGAATATGTAAAGATGGTGGTGAATTACTATGTTGTGATAGCTGTACTAGTGCTTATCATACACATTGTTTGAATCCACCACTTTCAGAAATTCCTGATGGTGATTGGAAGTGTCCTAGATGTTCTTGTCCACCTATACGTGGAAAAGGTATTTTAAAAAAAAGTTATGCATTATATATATTTAATTAATATTTAATTTCTTATATAATAGTTGCAAAGATCTTAACATGGAGATGGAAGGATTGCCCAGAAACACCTTCTGAAGAACCTTCAACGAGTAAAGCTACTCCCAAACAACGTAGAATGCGCGAATTCTTTGTGAAATGGGCAGATATGTCCTATTGGCATTGTGATTGGATTACAGAATTACAGCTTGATGTTTTCCATCCTCTTATGTTTAGGTGTGTATACAATAGATTTAATTTTTTTTATTGATAATTTTTTTTAATTTTATTATTGTTAGAAATTATTCACGAAAATATGATATGGACGAACCACCAAAATTGGAAGAACCATTGGATGAAAGCGATTCTCGTGTAAAACGATTGAAAGAACAGGACGGTGCTACTAATAGAGATGAATATAATTTAGAAGAACGATTTTATCGTTATGGAGTTCGTCCAGAATGGCTTGTAGTACATAGAGTAATCAATCATAGACTTTCAAGAGATGGTAGAGCAACATATCTTGTTAAATGGAGAGAATTAGGATATGATCAGGCAACGTGGGAAGACGAGCATGAAGATATTCCTGGATTAAAACAGGCTATTGAATATTATTTGGATCTCAGAGCAGCAAATTGTTGTGATGGTAGTTCTTCACGCAAGGGCAAGAAGGGTGAGAAGAGTCGGTTAATTCATTTTTTCTTTTTGTAATTAAATGTTATGAACTGTAAAATTATATTTTTTATTATATTCAGGTAAAGGCAAGAAATCGAAGACTCGTGAACTTATTGATGACGAAGAAAGAACGCCCAAAAGATACACTCCTCCACCTGATAAACCTACTACAGATCTCAAGAAAAAATATGAACGACAGCCAGAATATTTAGATCAGACTGGAATGCAATTACATCCTTATCAGCTAGAAGTATATACTTTATCACAATATTTATACCTATTATTTATTTTTTAATTTCATAATTTCATAGGGTTTAAATTGGTTAAGATATTCATGGGGCCAAGGCATAGACACTATTTTAGCAGACGAAATGGGTCTGGGAAAAACTATTCAAACTATTACATTTCTCTATTCTTTGTACAAAGAAGGACATTGTAAAGGACCATTTCTGGTATCTGTTCCCCTATCAACTATCATTAATTGGGAACGTGAATTTGAAACTTGGGCACCTGATTTTTATTGTGTTACTTATGTTGGTAAATATATGCAAATGAATTTAACTAATAATTAATAGTAATTTTATTAATGTTCTTATTGATTTAATAAAATTTTATAACATTTTATATTAATTTTAGGTGACAAAGATAGTCGTATTGTAATTCGAGAGAATGAATTGTCATTTGAAGAGGGTGCTGTTCGTGGAGGTCGAGCATCAAAGATTCGATCGAATCAAATTAAATTTAATGTACTCCTTACAAGTTATGAACTGATTTCAATTGATTCTGCATGTTTAGGATCAATAGATTGGGCCGTGTTAGTAGTAGACGAAGCGCATAGGCTCAAATCTAACCAATCAAAGTTTTTTAGATTATTAGCATCTTACAATATTGCATATAAATTATTATTAACTGGAACTCCTTTACAAAACAATCTGGAAGAATTGTTTCATCTATTGAATTTTCTATGTCGTGATAAATTTAATGATTTAGCTGCGTTTCAAAATGAATTCGCTGATATTTCGAAAGAAGAACAAGTAAAGAAATTACATGAATTACTTGGGCCACATATGTTAAGAAGATTAAAGGCTGATGTGCTAAAGGTATTTAGTATATATTATTATAAAAATTTGATATATCATTTATATTAATTTCTTTTTTTATTTATAGAATATGCCAAGTAAATCGGAATTCATTGTCCGCGTCGAATTATCTCCTATGCAAAAGAAATATTATAAATATATATTAACAAGAAATTTCGAAGCATTAAATCCTAAAGGAGGAGGTCAACAAGTATCGTTATTGAATATTATGATGGATTTAAAAAAATGTTGCAATCATCCTTACTTATTCCCAGCTGCGTCTCAAGAAGCACCAACCGCACCAAATGGAAGTTACGAAACATCTGCATTAATTAAAGCAGCAGGAAAACTCGTTCTATTGAGTAAAATGTTAAAGAAATTAAGAGATGACGGACATAGGGTATTAATCTTTTCTCAAATGACAAAAATGTTGGATATTCTCGAAGATTATTTAGAAGGAGAAGGTTATAAATATGAAAGAATAGATGGTAATATTACTGGCGCTCAACGACAAGAAGCTATCGATAGATTTAATGCACCTGGTATGTAAATAGTTTTATTATCTATTACAGAAAGAAAATTAATAACTTTATTTTTGATAGGTGCACAACAATTTGTGTTTCTTCTTTCTACTCGTGCCGGTGGTTTGGGTATAAACTTGGCTACCGCTGACACTGTAATTATTTATGATTCTGATTGGAATCCTCATAATGATATTCAAGCATTCAGTAGAGCTCATAGAATTGGCCAAGCTAACAAAGTCATGATCTATAGATTCGTAACTCGTAATTCTGTCGAGGAACGAGTTACACAAGTGGCAAAACGTAAAATGATGTTAACGCATTTAGTCGTAAGACCTGGCATGGGCGGAAAAGGTGCAAATTTCAGTAAACAAGAACTTGATGACATTTTACGATTTGGTAAATTTTATTATAATATTTAAATGTAATAAAAAAATAGAATTTGAATATGGAAATTTGTAATTCTCTTTTATATTAGGTACTGAGGAATTGTTTAAAGAGGAAGAAGGTAAAGAAGATGAAGCTATTCATTATGATGATAAAGCTGTGGCTGAATTATTAGATAGAAGCAAGGAAGGTATTGAGCAAAAAGAAAACTGGGCTAATGAATATTTAAGTTCATTCAAAGTAGCATCATATGTAACAAAAGAAGGCGAAACAGAAGAAGAAGCTGATACTGAAATTATTAAACAGGAAGCTGAGAATACTGATCCAGCATACTGGATCAAATTATTAAGACATCATTACGAACAACAACAGGAAGATATAGCCAGAACACTTGGAAAAGGTTAATTATTATACAAATATATATTATTATATAAATTATATATAAATTAATTATAATTTGTATAATATTATAAATTATACATAATTACAATTAATAATATAATTAATAATAAATTAATTATAATTAATATATTTAATTATTTTTAGGTAAACGAATACGTAAACAAGTAAACTATAATGATGGAGGAGTAACTGGAGATCAAAGTACAAGAGACGATCAACCTTGGCAGGAAAATCTCTCTGATTATAATAGCGATTTCAGTGCTCCTAGTGATGATGATAAAGAAGATGACGATTTTGATGAAAAGGGTGATGGAGATTTATTATCTCGAAGAAGTAGAAGAAGATTAGAAAGGAGAGACGAAAAAGATCGACCTCTACCTCCATTACTTGCTAGAGTTAATGGAAATATTGAAGTATGCTCTTTTTCTTTCTTTTTTTTTTTTTTCTTACATTTTTTTTTTCTTACATTTTTTTTTTCTTACATTTTTTTTTTCTTACATTTTTTTTTTTATATTTAAAAATTAATATAGAAGAAATGTGATTGCTTAATTCAGGTATTGGGCTTCAATGCTAGGCAGAGAAAAGCATTTCTAAATGCGATTATGCGTTACGGTATGCCACCACAAGACGCATTTAATTCTCAGTGGTTAGTTATTCGTTCAAGATATAATTCAAAATCAGAAAATTTAAAGTACTGTTAAAGTATATTATCGCATTTTAGGTTGGTGCGAGATTTAAGAGGCAAATCGGAAAAAAATTTCAAAGCATATGTTTCTCTTTTTATGCGGCATCTCTGTGAACCTGGTGCAGATAATGCCGAAACGTTTGCAGACGGTGTTCCAAGAGAAGGTCTCAGTAGACAGCATGTTCTAACAAGAATTGGTGTAATGTCTTTGATAAGGAAAAAGGTAAAATTCTTTAGCAATTAATTTTTTATTTCTTTTTAATTATTTTTATTATTTAATAGGTACAAGAATTTGAACACATTAATGGGTATTATTCAATGCCTGAAATGATACGAAAGCCAGTAGAACCTGTAAAAGTAGATGGTAGTGGAGATGGAGCAACTGGAACTAGTAGTACTAGTGCAACACCAGCTACTTCTAATGCTGCTAGTCCAAGTCCTGCTGCGACTCCAACTCCAACAGCCATATCTGGAACTACAATTACTGATACTAATAAATCTAATTCTGATAGTTCTGAAGTAAAAGAATGCAAAGAAGAACAAAAGGATAAAGAAGTAATTATATTAAAAAATTATATATTATAATATATATATTATATAATATATATAAAAAAATAATTATATATAATATAAATTAATATATATAATATAATAATAAATTATATATAATATAAAATAATTATATATAATATAATAATATATAATTATATATAAAATTATAATAATTATATATTATATATAATTATATTAATTATAAAAAATTAAAAAATTAATTATAAAATTAAATTTCAATTAAACTTGCAATAAAAAAAATTATTTTGTAGATTACGGAAACGAAAGATATGAAAGAAGAATCGAAGGATTCTAAAGAAGAAGAAGAAAATAATACAGAGAAAGATAAAGATAAAGATGATGTGAAAAAAGAGGAAAAAGATGCAGAATCAGAAACAATGGATAAAGAAAAGGATAAATTGGATATTAAAGAAGAAAAGTCATTAACAAAACATGACGAAAAAGTTGAAAATATTGAAAATAAAACAAAGCAAGATTCTGAAGAAGATGTAGTTATCGTTAAAGATGATGAAGAAGAAACTGAAAAACGAGAGGTATTACTATTACGCTAATAAACTAATGCAATTTATTTAGAGAAATTAATTAAGATTTTACAAGATTAACAAGATTTTCGATTTTACATTATAGGAGAAAGATAATAAAGAAAAAGATATAAAAGATTGTGATTCAGAAACGATAAAACCTAAACGTAAATTCATGTTCAACATAGCTGATGGAGGTTTCACAGAATTACATACATTATGGTTAAATGAAGAAAAAGCTGCGGTTCCTGGTCGTGAATATGAAATCTGGCATCGAAGACACGACTATTGGTTATTAGCTGGTATTGTTACACATGGCTATGGTCGTTGGCAAGACATTCAAAACGATATCAGGTAAAATGTAAAAATTTGTAATAGGAAAATTTATGCTTAATATAAATATATGCTATTTTAATATTATTTTGCAGGTTCGCAATAATTAATGAACCATTTAAAATGGATGTGGGCAAGGGTAACTTCTTAGAAATAAAGAATAAATTTTTAGCTAGACGCTTTAAATTGTTAGAACAAGCATTAGTAATAGAGGAACAATTAAGAAGAGCTGCGTATCTGAACTTAACACAAGATCCTAATCATCCTGCAATGAGCTTAAATGCAAGATTTGCCGAAGTTGAGTGCCTTGCAGAATCACATCAACATCTCAGTAAAGAAAGCCTTGCAGGAAATAAACCAGCGAATGCTGTCTTGCATAAAGTAATATCTTTATTGAATATTTTTTTATTTTATTTATTTATAATTCATTTTTATATTATTTTACTATATATAGGTACTAAATCAATTAGAAGAATTATTATCTGATATGAAATCTGACGTAAGCCGTTTACCAGCTACTTTAGCTCGTATTCCACCTGTTGCGCAAAGACTTCAAATGTCAGAGAGATCTATATTGAGTCGATTAGCAGCTACTGCACCAGGCGGAAATAATTCTCAATCGGGTCAAGCAGCATTGTTAGCGCAACAGTTTCCAGCAGGTTTTTCTGGTGGACAATTACCAGCTACATTTGCTGGTGCAGCTAATTTCGGAAATTTTAGACCACAATACTCAGTACCAGGTCAACCACCACAAGGATTCACAGGTATGCAATAAGTTTTAAATTTTTAACATTTTTAATATAGAATTTCAATCTTTATAATGATTATTATAAAAATAATTTATATTGCAGCTTGAATAGTAAATGATTGATAAACAGTGGCTCAATTGAAAATTCATAATGGCGCATGTTAACACTATGTTTTAAAGATTGTGTGCGCTGCATTATTTTTTCGTAAATTACGATTTTTAGCTGAATTTTATTAAAAGAGGCGTTAAGATAAAGAAGTAACAAAACAGACATAGATATGCAGACACATATGTAATATTACATCTAAATTACATTATTTCTGTATTTATTATGTGTACATTCGGCGTTTAGCATCAAGATTATCATGTTTTTGTATTTATACATATACGGTCCTTGTAGAAAGTGGCATAAATTATTTTCTTAAGCTAATTAAGAGTGATTTATATTTCTTCATCGACCGGCGTGTGTATTATATTGTAACGATAAGTACATTTTACTTAATGCAAACAAAAATAACAACTTATTTAAGAAACGAGTACAGATTACAGAGATTTGCGCAGTTTAAATTTAAGATGCGCTAATTGATTCATGCGGTTTATCGTTCAGTATAATTTATTCGCAATTTTTTTTTGCAATAATATTTTACTGACGGATGCCAAAAAGACTTAATTAGTCAAAAGCGTGTCCTTCGATATGTGTATTTGTGAATTCAGGGATTTTAGTTCAGATTGCATATATATTAAATATCATCATTGATATACCATAAACGATGAACAATGGCAATCATTTTAGTTAAGACTGACATTCACATTCATATTATATTCGGGAAAGTTCATTTCGTATATAATTTTACATGCTATTGTAATGCATGGATTCCCATTTTTCAGATTCTTCATATATGCGCACTTTAATTGTCAAATTTTCAGTTTAAAATAAATATTGTGTAAGTACTACGTCGAAAAAAACAGAAGCACAAAGTCTGTTTGATACTTAAATATTATAATGCACATGGTGATATGATTCTGATACGTAATTCGAATCTTTAGAGATCGATTATTTTATTGAAAAAAGTCACCAATGACTAAAAAAATGACCTAGGGAGAAATTTGATAATATCGTGATCATTTAATAAATATACTTTGTATATACTTGTCCAATTACATTTTGATGCATTATATATTATACGCATACACATATATTATAGCACTCTCGTAACAAGTAAGGTCGAAAGGCACGTCTCACATCCCATGCATTATATTAGAGAAAAGAGAAGAGGGACGATTATAAATATAATTATAAAACACAGAAACATTAAAAAATCTTAAGTAAATATATTGTTCCATTTTTTCTACCCCAGGTTCGAGACGTGTTAGAGCATTTCAATTTAACTAATCGATCTGCCAAATCCTTATGTTGGCATATAAGTTTCTAAGAATAATTTAGGATATAGTTAAAAAATTTTGAATGAGTGTGTAAAGAGTAAGGGAATGAATGAATAAAAAATGAATTGACAAATCATTGAAAATCGTTTGTTGTATGTATTACTTCTGCTGGAATAAATTAATAATTAGAAACAAGATTTGTACTCAATGTTTTTAATAGGTTTTAAATTTCGCAAACAATTACAATTTATAATAAGACTTTATTGATTATATATAATATATAATAAATAAAAAATATTATAGAATAGAATATAAATACTATGAAACAATTACAATTATTGTAAATTTGAAATTGTGATTTTATTATAATGCGTTGTAAATTAACATTATTTTATGTATAAATAACAATATAATAATATAGTGAATAAGATGATGAAAAAAAATACAACATTTTTAACGTAAATAATACGGCAGCAACGATAATAGAAAGATACAAAATTTAACCAGAGGTATCTTTATTTTGTCTCTGTTGTATCATTTCTCTTATGTTGTTTTCACATTCTTTTAAGTTTTGTTGCAAGTACGTTTTATTATTTTCTAAATTTTTCACTTTTTCATCAGCATTTTTCATTCGTTTCTCGAGACCAATTTTTATACTATCCATGTTGTCTAAAAGAAACATTCTGCCAACTGATTCATATGCTTTAGTGTTTTCTGGATATGAGGTTATTTCCTTCATTGTTAGTTCAGCGAATTGTTTTGATCGTTTTAATTTTTCAATTTGTAAATCTGCTAACTTCAATTTTTGCGTGGTATCAATCATTTTCTCGTGTAATTGCGAGAATGCTTTTCTTAGCTCTTCATCCGGTTCTCTTGCCATTTTTCTATAATAATTTTATAGGTTAAAAAACTAAAATTTTTCGTTTTATACAATTATTTAAAATTTTAATTTATTATCAAATATAATAAAAATTCAATTAAATATAATTAATTCTACATTTTGACATTTTTATTATAATGAAACAATTTAAAACACAAGATAACACAAAATATCTCATTAATTTTAACTTGTTAAATTAATAGGAAAAAAATTATACAATGATTAACATCTATTTATATGATTCTTAATTATTCTCTTATAAAAATAAATATATAGAAAAAAATTTTTTTATTTTATATATAAGTTATTATTTACCTTTTATTCAATTTTTTAATAAAGAAAAATAAAGTTATTTATTACTTAATGAAATATATATATATATTATTACTGAATTTATTTTGGATTTTATTATAATCTATATTATATATTTCAATAAAGAAATTAAAAAATAAATTTCATAGAATATCTTGAATTATGTAGTATAATGCCAGCACAGACTATGTATAAAATAGACTTGCATGTAATATATTTTTGTGTTATATGAGATAACAATGATCTATCGATATTTTGAAAAGATCGATGTTTGTTATCGATCATCAATGTTTTTTTTATGGATTCTTTATTTAAATTTAATTCTTCTTTAATTAATTATTGCAAATATGTATTGATTTGTAAAAATTATGTTTTTTTTATATACATAATAGATAATTGATTTTAATTTTTGAAATTTTCACAAAAGTGTTGATATTATTATATTAAATTTTATCTAATAAAATATAAAAATATATAAAATCTTTATGATATATAAAAGAACTATATATAAAATATATATACTCCCGATATATAAAAAAAATTTATAAATATATAAAATATATTATAAATATATTCCTAATGACATATAAAAACATAAATGTATACATAAATAAAATATATACATTATATATATATTATATAAATATATAAGAACATTGAATATTTTTATTATTCAAGATTATATAGACTATAAAAATTTCCAATCAATAGATTAAGCAAAGAAGATAATAAAATTAATTAGATAAAATCGAACCGAATAAATTTAAAAAAAAGCACATACAAATAAGAAAAACAAATAATAAAAGAAAGACAAGATAGGATAGGATAAAAATTGAGGAATCAATGTTATTTCTTAAATATCAAAGAATTCTCTTTAAATCTTTTAAAAATATAGATTAAATATAATAAATATATCTTATAATATAATATAATTCTATCCAATATGATATAATATTTTTATATTTAATCTGTATATTAATTTATTGTAATAAACAGAAGTAAAATATAATTTGACTCTCATCTTTATCTATCGAATGCTTTTAAAAAAATTTTTAGCATTCTACAATGATATTGATAGTCAATTTTTATTTTATTTCTATTCTTTTCATTATTTGCTCTTGTTACAGTTTGTTTCATTTACGACACTTCAGAAATGGCGTTGATTATCTTATCTCTATGTTTCGCTTATTATTTTTACTTTTTTATCCATACTTTTTTCACGTGATTACAAACAAGATGTGGAATATTCAACATTTTTATCATTTTTCTTTTAAAAAACTACTAATGTGTTTTAATTTTTAATATAAAAAATATAGATATTAAATTTTCGGCTTTATAATATATCTTATGAATGATAATTTAGCAAAAAATAATTTATCCTGATATATAATGTATATTTTAACGCAAGAAATGAAATTTAAAAAAAACGAAAACTTGACCTAGCAATGAAGAAAGAAATAGGAAGAAATTTTAATTATATTTAATAATTATATCAAATATTCATTTATCAAATTTTCGCTATTTATAATTTTGTAAAATATTTTTAAAATATGCAGTTAATTATCCATACATAAACTTATTATTATTGAATTACCAACATTGTAATCTTATTATTCTAAGCCAAATTAGTAACATTGAAAATGACGTTAAAATGATAAATGAATCCTTAGTGCTCTTGAAATATGAAATAAAAAAATGAATTTTAATTATTTTGTACTCAGTTAATCAGATTGAATATAATTATTAGATTTATCGTTCTAAATTATATGATGTATCAAGTCTTCTAATTTTTTGCACACTTGCTAAATATGAAATATAAAATTTAATTTTTTAATTTAAAATTTAAATTTAACTGCTCAGTAGAAAAAGTCTTCAAAGAATTATTTTACATATTACAAATTTATAAATTGTATTATTATAAAAAACTTTATTATAAAAAATATATTAATAATAAAATTAAGCTACGTAAGCATTTTTATAATTTTAAATGATTTTTTAAATATTTAATACAAAAAGAAAAGTATTTTATACAAAAAATAGAAAAATCAGAAAAAAATAGATATTCCTTGTTAACAAAAAAAATTTGATTTAAAGAATTTTCTACTACAAAAGAAAAGTATAAAATAAACAGGTGAAGAGATACTAAATTTATGACATCGAGATTAAGTAACTAAAAACAGACTGTTTCACAACGTATGGTAACGCGTTTGCAGAGATACCTTTTTATAAAGGTTCTCCAATGTAAGGTTAAAAAACCTTATACAACAATAATGCCCAAGAGATCACTTCAAAGTCCACCTGAAAAAAAATTAAAATCAAATCAATGCTCGATTAATTCAACAAAAAACGCGGATCCCTTCACAGAACATAACCTCAAGACAGACACAACGATCATTGAAGACATGCAAACAGAAAATGGGATACAAGAATTTTCTGTATGCGGTTCAAAAGAATCACGGACAAAAGTTACATATTTAGAAACACCTGTAAAATCGGAGAATGATAAGAAGGAATATAGGTAAAGAATAATAGAAAATATATTGAATGAATAGAATATATATGGATTTGTTTTATTTTTTTGAATTTTAATAAATTATTTTTTTTTTATGTAGAGTAATTAAATTAGAAAATGGTTTGACTGCTCTTCTAATTGCTGACTTACACTCCTTTCATTCAGATGATCAAAATGATAGAAAAGGTAAAAGAAAAAATTTAATAGAAAATTTAAACATTTCCATTTATATATTAATTGAATAACTCTTCTGTAATTTTATTATATTTTTCTATAATAAAATTTTAATAGATTCAGTAAGTACAAATGAAGAAGAAAATGAAGAAACTAACAGTGAAGAGGATGAAGAGGAAAGTGAATCAGAAAGTGATACAGAGGATAATCAATCAGATTGTGATAAAGATGTAGAAGATTCTTGTACTTTTTCCAAACGATTAAAAAGAGAAGAAAAAATGGTATTTTTTATTAAAATATATAATTTAATATTTAATTTATGTAATATATATAAAATGTTAATATTCTCAGTGTGCTGCTACGCATGTTTCTTACACAGGCAGCATGTGGATTATCAGTGGGTGTAGGAAGTTTCAGTGATCCACCAGAAATTCCAGGTTTAGCACATTTTTTGGAACATATGGTTTTCATGGGATCAGAAAAGTATTCTGAGGTAGTCATTTTAAATAAAAAATTTTTAAAACTTTTAATTTTTTGTTTAATTTCTATATGAATTTATAGGAAAATGATTTTGATGCGTTCATTAAAAAAAGAGGTGGATCAGACAATGCCTCTACTGAATGTGAATTAACAACATTCTATTTTGAAATACAAGAAAAATATCTTTTGTCTGCACTTGATCGTTTTGCTCAATTTTTTATAAAACCTTTAATGAAGAAAGATGCAATAACAAGAGAACGTGAAGCAGTAGAAAGTGGTACATATTAAAAATTTTTAACATAATGAAATTTAATTAATTTAATTTATAATAATATTAAATAATTCATAATAGAGTTTCAGATGGCTTTACCTTCTGATTTTTGTAGAAAAGAGCAATTATTTAGTAGTTTTGCACGATCAAATCATCCTGCAACAAAATTTTGTTGGGGTAATTTGGTTACCTTACGAGATAATGTAACAGATAAAAAGCTCTATGAGGAATTGCATAAGTTTAAAGAGCGTCACTACAGTGCTCACAGGATGAAACTTGCTATACAAGTGAGCTTAGCAACATATAATATCAGCAACATACATCAAAATTTATTTTTTTTTTGTCTAAATAATATTGATTTAAGAATTTTATTTACAGGCAAGACTTCCATTGGATGTATTAGAAGATTATGTAACACAATGTTTTGCAAATGTACCAAATAATGGTTTACCAGCTGATGATTTTACTTTGTTCAAGGGTTCAAATTCATTTGATACACCAAGTTTTAGAAAAATTTATAAAATCAAGCCTATAAAAGATATTTGCCAAGTGTGTCATAGTATTTTTTTTTAAATTAATTATTTAAAATTATTTTAAATTAATTATTTAATGATAATTAGAAATTAATCTTGTTTTAATTTCTAGGTAGAGTTAACATGGTCTATGCCACCTCTTCATGATTTATACAAAAGCAAACCGCATCAATATGTTTCTTGGATTATAGGATATGAAGGAAAAGGTTCTTTAATTAGTTACTTAAGAAGAAAAATGTGGTGCCTTGGTATTTTCAGCGGAAATGAAGAAAGCGGTTTCGAACATAGTTCAATGTACGCGTTGTTTAATTTATCTTTAATGTTGACAGAACAGGGACACAAACATCTACCAGAAGTATTAAATGCTATATTTTCATTTATCAATTTAATGCGCAAAGAAGGTCCGCAGAAAAGAATATATGATGAAATCCATCAGATTAAAGAAACGAATTTCAGGTAAATTAATGATTAATTTAATAATTTAAGTGATTCATAAAAAGAAAAAAACTTTCTTGTAGATTTACAGATGAATCACCACCAGCAGAATATGTAGAAGATTTATGTGAAAGCATGCACTATTATCCTCCTCGTGATTATATTACTGGAAGTGGATTATATTTTGAATATAATCCAGAAGCTATACAAATTTGTTTAAATTATTTAACACCTGATGATGTAAACATTATAATTTTTGATAAAAAATTTAATGATGAAGATTTTGATAAAGTAGAACCTTGGTTTAAAACCAAATATACCGATATGGAAATTCCTCAAGAATGGATTGAGTGTTGGAGAACTATTGAACCTTTTTCTGAATTCCATTTACCATTACCTAATATGTTCATCACAGATGATTTCAGTTTAATTTCAATGCCAGCTAACATTTCTAAATATCCTACAAAAATTTATACAGATGAGATAACAGAAGTTTGGTATCGACCTGATCCTAAATTTGGTTTACCTGAATGTTATATGTATTTTTATATCATATCGCCAATGGCTGTTTGTTCACTAAAAGGGTAAATTGAAATATTTATGAATAAATATATATTTTTTTTATATAATGAATTTTTTTTTATAATGAATAATTATAGATTTTTTTTAAATTTTAGTGCAGCTCTAATGGATTTGTTTATTGCTATACTAAAGCAATTGTTAGTGGAATCATTGTATCCAGCCACGGTTGCTGAACTAAATCACGATA